CAGAATATTGCTAGAGAGCAGGAAAGGAGGTGAAAGGAGACAATTTTAGAGAAGAAAATTTTTCGGTCGCTTCCCGGATTCGAACCCGGGACCTTTGAATGAGAGGCCAACATCTTAACCTCTAGGCCACGAGAGCCCCCCAATCATACAATACATGTAGTCATGTAGTAGTTCCGAAGTCTTGAGGTGCTGGTTTTGGTAAGAGTTTGTGGCATTGGCAACGCAATTTAGTCATTAAAAAAAAGTGCTGAAGATTAGAATTAGACTCATAGAGGTGTTATAAGAGAGTAAACAAACACCAAAAAAAGGAAGAGAGATAAGAACAATCTGTGTTTGATCGGAATCAGGACAGAAGGAGCAAACCACATTAGAGCAACCGCCAACTAACACGATTCAAAGTTAAAAGAGACAGTAGAGACTAACATACAAAGAAAAGGAGGAGAAATGAGGACAAATGATGATTGATAGAAGGAAAGAAGGAGCACACTACACCAGAGTAACCTGCCAACCACCCACACTCACAAAAACGATAACACACTTCCACAGAAACGAACTTGTTCAGTCAGTACTTATCACTGAGTTAGCGTTTAATAATATTCCGTGATTCAAAGCATGGAACAGGTATATTTGACGGCAATACACATTGAAAATATACTTCACATAAACCACTAAATCGCAATCTCAGTGTTTTGTTGTCATGTATCTCTTTTTTTTTTAACAGTGAAAATGAGACTTCATCTCTTCTAAAGCTCACTCTTCGTTATGAACTGTTTTCAGTGTTATAAAAAATGGAGATACGACAAGAAAGCACTGAGGTTGCAAAATGTAGAATATATAAAAATATAATGTACAGTGGAGTCTGCCTAAACCGAACAGGGTTAATCCAAAAACAGTGGGAAACTGAAAAAAAAATAATGAAATCCCTGATAATTTGTTTTCTCCCATTTGAGCAACTTCTCAAAACTGAAAGCCGTGTGAGATCAAAGAGTAATGTGAGACTGAAAAAACAAACCTGGTGGGCCCGCAAACTTTGGTTGAAGAGGACTCCACTGTACGATCAAAAGTCTTCCCCATGAGGGAATCAAACTCATGTCTCCTGCATGCAATGGCGAAGCGCTAAACTAAACAACTGCTATATATATCACTTAACCCTATCCGTACGCCCTGGGGTCATTTTGCACCCCCGGGATCGTATTTTTCACATTTTAGAATACTTCTAGTACGAAGATCTCTTTGAAACTTTCAGTATTTCTCAAAAAATCATTTTGACAGACTGCTACGCAAAGTGTACAGATCGGATTAATGAGTAAATTTCCTTTTTGGAAAGTGGGGGCACAGAGTTCATCGTCGTATGGATACGATAGTTAATAATGACGTACGGATAGGGTTAATAGATGAAAATATACACGTACATACACACAAATCTATCTGCTGCACAAGCATCTCCCCAAAAAGGCAGTTTATTGCTACTGAGCATCTTGAAAGGTTACATCATGGTTCCATTTCATATTATCATCAGACGATGGCAATCAGACAAACCTGGTTCTGACATGTGCCAAGAACGGACAGCCAGCACAACATGACATTCATCTCCAAAAGATAAAAGTAAAAGAGATAGTATAAGCAAGGTCAAAACTGTCTTAGATGTCCAGTCATTGTTGGTGAGCAAAGTGGTTGTCTTAGACAGGTGAATGTCTTAGTTACACAGGTGAAAGTCCTGAGTCTTGGACAGGTGAATGTCTTACACTTACTTACACATTGGTATCAAAATGCGGTTGTCTTAGACAGGTGAATGTCTTAGTTAGACAGGTGAAAGTCTTAGTTAGACAGGTGAATGTCTTAGTTAGACAGATGAAAGTCCTGGGTCTTGGAAAGGTGAATGTCTTACACATACTTACACATTGGTATCAAAATGCGGTTGTCTTAGACAGGTGAATGTCTTCTTAGTTAGACAGGTGAAAGTCTTAGTTAGACAGGTGAAAGTCCTGAGTCTTGGACAGGTGAATGTCTTAGTTAGACAGGTGAAAGTCCTGAGTCTTGGACAGGTGAATGTCTTAGTTAGACAGGTGAAAGTCTTAGTTAGACAGGTGAAAGTCTTGAGTCTTGGACAGGTGAATGTCTTACACTTACACAGTGGTATCAAAATGCAGTTGTCTTCGACAGGTCAACGTCTTCGACAGGTCAACGTCTTTGTTAGACAGGTGAATGTCTTACGCAGTGCTACCAAAATGTGGTCTAAGACAGGTGAACGCTTTAGACAGGTCAACGTCTTAGACAGGTGAATGTCTTAGTTAGACAGGTGAATGTCTTAGTTAGACAGGTGAATGTCTTACACAGTGGTATCAAAATGTAGTTGTCTTAGACAGGTCAACATCAAAGGTGAATGTCTTAGTTACACAGGCGAATATCTTACACAGTGGATCAAAATGTAGATCTAGTTGTCTTAGAGTAGACAGGTCAACGTCCTAAACAGGTGAACATTTTACACAGCGGATCAAAATGTAGTTGTCTTAGAGTAGACAGGTCAATATCCTACACAGGTGAACATCTTAAAAGGTGGATCAAAATGTAGTTGTCTTAGAGTAGACAGGTCAACGTCCTACTCCTCCACAGGTGAACATCGTAGACAAGTGAACATCTTACACAGTATATCAAAATGAAAATGTAATTAAAAAATGCAAAGGGGGAATGTAATGTGAAGTGGCCGTTTGTATAGTATAAATTAAAAATACTATAGATGATGATCTGACATGTGGCAGTGGGAGCAAATTTGACTGTACTGTATAGTTAATGTTGTACATTGTACTTCTTTTTTTACAAGCCCATCACCACAATTTGGATCATTTAGGAGGCAGGCTGCGTCGACACTGCCTGCCGGGGCCGATCCAAGCTGACAGGGATGCATGAACAACATCCCAGCAGACAGATGGTGATACTCCATATATAATTATATAAATATATATAAAAACTCTCCCCACAGGGGAATTGAACTCAAATCTTCTGCATGCTTTAGTTTTAGTAAGAGTTTTACGGCACTTGCAATACAATAAGGTTATATAAGTGCCGAAGATTAGAGGTGTTACAAGAGGGTAACAAAGATAAAAAAGGAGAGGTGAGCAGAGTAAGTCCGATTCCCTGTAAGGACTTCTCTGTTGACACCCACCCCTTGGCGCTCATATGACCTTATGCAGTTGCGAGCGCCGTAAAACCCTCTACTAAAAAAAACAACTAAAAAAGGAGTAGGAAAGATCGGGATGATAGATGTTTGATAGAATGAAAGAAGGAGCAAACCACACCAGAGCACCTACCAACCACCACCCAATTCCCTTTATAAGAGGGATCAAAAGCAATTCACAGTCGTCAACAATATAGGCATGCAAAAAACAAACTTACAATTCAATCACACAAGATTCAAAGTTGTTTACAATAACTAAAAATATTTCGGAGCAATCCTATTCTTATAAAACAACAACATAACAAAAGAAAGCAAAAACATTGCACTGTCAAATATAGTACTGTACCCGAGGCAAACTTATATATTAAAGAATGATCGATAATAGACTGGCTGGTGAAAGATACAACAACATGAACACAACCTAAAGACTAGATCTAAATAAAATCCCATTCAATCAAGAGTAACTTATCGTACCAAGAAACGTTATGATAAAAATATAAGTGAAGAAATATTTTTTCTTTACTTATTATTCATGTAGATCTATTTATTACTTTATATGTTAAAATATTCTATGTGTTTACTCTCTAAGACCAACAGGTAATTTCAAAACCAAAAATGCTGCACAGTTTATTGTTATTACTAAACACAAAAGTGCCAGATAATAGAATTGGGCGGGGTAAAAAAAAAAATCCCACTCATCAAAACTTATGTTCTGGTAAGTGTTTTACGGCGCTCGCGACTGTATAAGGTCGTATGAGCGTGCAGGACACAGTAAATATTTTCAGTTTGGTAGGAAATGAATTTTTATTTTGCCAGGGTGGCAGCCAAAGTCTATTCTTATCGATTTTGGACCACCAAGGGATCTTTAACGAAGGCAACACAGGACCTCTGAGATTTTTCGTCCTTATCCGAGAAGGCTAGGTGTTAGATCTTGCCTACTACCCTAGGATCAGGGGTGTGGCAGAAAGACAGCAGTAAGAAGGAGGCAAGGAGTAGCAGTAGAAAGGCTGCAGAAAGAGTCAGGAGCCCAGAAGAGGGGGCAGGGTGCAGAAAGTTAAGACGAAAGCAGACGACAGAACATGGTAAGAGAGCAGGAAAGGAAGTGAAAAGAGAAAATTTTTGGGTAAAAGATTTTCTGTCCCGGTCAGTATATATGGCCCCAATTAGACATCATATAACTTGCTGCATGTACTTCTTATCTGTGAGAAATTTTTGGACCACGGTAAAAAAAAAAAAATGTATAAAAAACATTATTTTTAAAAAGTACCAAAAAAGTATCAAAGTCACACTTGCTATGGCCGTACGTCACATCATGCAGCAGGCCACAGCAGCTAAACAAAACACAGCTGTATATGAAGCACTCTCTCACACTCCCAGGAAATCTCTCCTGTTGTACACACCCATCAGAAACACAGGAGAAACAAAAGCTGTTGTATTTTCTACACACATACAAAAGTGACAAACGTTTTCGGGACACTGGTAATTTCTGAAAAGTAGCACTCAGCGTGACTTCTTCATAAACTACTCGCTCTCTCTCTCTTTTTATCTCTCTCTTGCAAGATTTTAGTTTTAGTAACAGTTTTAACGCACTTGCACACAATAAGGTCATATAAGCGCCGAAGATTAGAGGTGTTACAAGAGAGTAACAAACATAAAAATAAAGGAGGAGAGATAAAGACGATAGTACGCTACTTTGATAGGAAAGAAGGAGCAAACCACACCACAGCACCCGCCAACCACCCACTCGCTCTCTTCAAAATGCACCGGTGGTGGCAGCCGACACAGCGTCAAGGAGCTATCAGCTCAAACACATTTGTTCTCTCCGCAGTCTTCCCCTCATTTCTTTCACCACGGTTACCGGCGACATCTCGCCCACTCTGAGATTCTCTAGAAGACGAAACACGGGAATCATCATCACGGGACCCACTTTCACTGGGCTTGGGGGCCTCCTCAAAACCAAGGAATGTGATATCGTCGCTGTCGCTCGACAGCTCAGACGTGCCAAAGCCTGCTGGGCCAAACGCGCGGAACACGTTACGTTGCTGTGCGTGCAGCTCCAAGTCCGGCGCCTCAGTTTTCACACAGACTGCCTGTTCAACAGAGCCCTCCTCCATCGTAACTTCTCCCGTTGTGGGTGCCTCCGCATCTTTTGCCACCTCGGTGGAGCTGGAACACGTGGCCCTTACACACCTCAGTTTGCCGCCACTGTGCTCCGCTGGGTGGTCGGTTCTGGGGAACGGTCGTTTGACAGGTGCAACTTTCGGCACAACTTTCGACGCAGCAGCAGAGCCAGCAGTAGCGCCCTCCCCCAGCCCGGGCAGCACTTGTCTGGGTAACACCCCAACCTGGGCACCATCGCGGCTGGAGGGGAGGTCACTATTGATCTCAGCAGCAGCCATGTCACCTCTGGCCTCGCCAGATTCCACTTCCTGCTCCGTCTCATCTTTTTCCTCTTCAGTAACAGCCGCTATTGACAGACCTGCCGGGGAGTTTTCTTCCCCGATTCCTTGAGCGAGGTCAGAGGTTACGTGACCCTTGCTGTCTGAAGCAGCCCCCTCTAGCGACGGATCACTGTCACTGTCGCTGTCGTCACACTGCGTCACCTGCACCTCACACAACTCTCCTTCGTCATCAGAGGAATCCTCTGTAGGAGTCTTTGCCATCTCCACTATAGTTACTATTGCATCCAATTTTGCAGAACTGGTTACCATTTCTTCACCAGCGACCGTCAACTTTGCCAGGTCAGAATCTTCTTCTCCTACTCCGATGGACGCGTCTGATTCATCATCCCCTGCGGGCGCGACTTCTCCTACCGATATGTCTGTATCTTCAGCACCAACTGAAACATCGCCCAGCCCGTCATCGGTCCGGCTAGAGAGCCCATCGTGGTCCCCGTCAGGTCTCCTCCCATCCACCCCAGTGCCAGACACAGACGAGCCAGGCAGAGTGACGCCCCCACTCACAGCGCTCCCTCCGCCCCTGTTCTCCGGATGATAGAAATCGTCTGCAGCCTCCTCCTTCACAATTCCCTCCAGCGGTACATCAGCAAGGTCTGGCTCAATATCTCTCTCAACCACAACATCAAACTCCGGATCTCTTTTCACGACAACGCTGGCCTCCAGGCCTCCGTCATCCCCAGACAGTGCGGACCCCTCTCCGCTTTGCGCCACAGCTGATAAAGAATCTGGCGCCATGTACAAAGTTTTCTCCATCACCAACACCCGAAACGGTTTCATATGCGTCTTCAGATGGTCAGTGTACCTTTTGCCATACGATACAAACTTCTTGCAAATGGGGCAGGTCTTTTGGGGTTTCCACGACGGAGTTGACTGGATGTCAGAGACTACATCTCCACCATTATCAATCTTCACGAGGGCAGCTCTCTGCTTGGCCGATTTTTTCTTTGCAGTAGTCTTGAGGTATTCTCTGATACTGTTGATCCCATGTATACACCTGAGGTGGGTTTTCAGGCCATGCAGTTTTAACGTTTCTTTGTTGCATATTTTGCAGACACAAAACTTCTTACAGACGGGCTCATGCTGCAACCATTCTGTCTTACGTGGATAGCTCATTCCACAGTATTGACAGGAAAACATTTGTGACAAGTTGTGATCCTTAGATAAGTGACGACGAAGACAGTGAGGGTATTCAAATGTCTTTGAACATATCTTGCATTTCAGGTTATGTGAGTCCTTTGAATATGATTCATGACTTGAAATGCCAGCCATCGATGTGGTTGTGGACGAAGAGCCTATTATTTTCGAACGATGGGGAGCTTCAGATTTTTCAACAGCACCACCAAGAGAATTCTTTTTGGAGGTACTAGAACCTTTCACTGGTACATCACATGTATTCTTTTTGCAGGTACTAGGACCTACTGATTCATCAGATGCAACCTCGTTTACCGGCTTTAACGCCACCTTAGGTTTTGCTGGTCTATCCGGCCCTGCTGTCACTTCAGGACACAAAAGATGTTCTATGTCACCTTCCTCCTTTCTTCTATGAAAACGTTTCAAGTGAAACCTAAAGCCGGGTAAACTTGCTACTTTTTGGCGGCAAATACTGCACCTTCCTATGAAACGTCTTTCAGCAGTCTTTTTAATCCCTTTGGTTTCCGTAGGAGTCTTTGGTAATTTCTCCTCAGCAGGTTTATGGGTCAATCTTCGATGTGCTTCATAGGAAGAAAACTTTTTGAACTTTGAAGAAGGGGTAGCAGTAACAACCTTCTTCAATACTTTTTTATCTTTGACTCTCTTTTTTTTGTTGTGAGTGCTTCTCAAATGTGTCTTCAAACCTACCAAGCTGCGGAAGTTTTTCTGACACTGCTGACATACCTTTGGCTTTTTGTGATCCCCAGAAGTCACTTGGTGCGTCAGCTCCTCAGGGACCACAATGTCCATAGCTCGGTGGGTCACCATATGTTTCTTCAGACACTCTCTCGTTTTGAAAACTGAGAGACACATAGGGCATTCCACAGGCTTGTGCACCCTCATAGATATCGCGCCTCTACCAGATATTTTTTCCAGAATTATCCGCCGATGAAACATAAAGTGAGAGGAGAACACTGTCATAGTCTTTTCACACAGTAAGCAAATCCACTTGCCTCTAGTCTTCTCCCCACCGGCTGCCTTCTCTTTATCCTGTGGTGAGGGAGCCGATTCTTGAACTTTGACCTCCTCAAGTGGTGACGCCGGAGTCACAGCAGCTTGTCGGTACCGGCCGATGGCCTCCTCCATAGACTGATAGCATCCCGACCCGAGAATGTGGCCAACTTTGTCCTGGAACTGGCCCGAGCAGAATTCACATCGGGAAGGGTCATCCGATGACAGATCTTTCTTACCTGCCTCGTCCAGCTGATAATATCTATTTTCCATCATGAACCTCATAATAGCCCTACACGTGTCCGAACTTTCCACATGCTCTCGTTTCTGCGCATCACTCTCAAACATGAGTGAACAGAACACACACTGAACACTCGCTGCGGCTGAAACCTTTGCTTTCTTGCACGGCACCCCACTGTCAGGAGCACTTTCCTCTTTAGGCGGCCGGCAGCGCACACTCACAGCCATGTGCTTTCTGCGGTCCCTCTGACTGGCAAAATGTTGGCCACAAGTCTCGCATGCACACGAAGTATAACTATCAACAGCACTTAAAGCATCACGGACTCGAAACTGCACGCGTAGCCGAGGCGGAGAGAGATCACCCCCAGACACCTCAGCTGGTGCCTTGCGCCTACAGCTAGTCCGCGACTTTTCATGCTTGCTGCTGATGTGGGTCGTCAAAGTCGCTTCTGTGGGGAAACTCTGGCGACATATGGAACAGCTGAAAGGAGCTGCCGAAGCATGGCTGAAAATGTGTTCCTTGAAACTCTCAAAGCGAGAGAATACTTTGTCGCATACATAACACTTATGGGGATCAGTTTCCGAGAGTTCGTCTTCATCCTCCCCAGGTTTCGCATCACTCTCGCACACGCCCGAAGTCGAGGAAATCTCCACATTGTCACTAGAAGGAAGACCTTCCTTGTCCACGCGCTCGTGATAAGCCAGATGAGACACCAGGCGGTTGTAATGTTGGAACTTTTTGGAACAGCGGTCGCACTGATAGTCACTCAACTCCACGTGTGTTTGACTGTGCTCTAAAAGCAGCCGGAAAACATCAAACTTCTCATTGCATACAGCACAGGGATAGGACTTTTTCTGGCTAGAGTTGGACAAATTTTGCGTCATCTCACTGGCTGCCTGCACATTGCTCAAAGACAGTTCCTCTTTGTGATACAGATGCCTGCAACTTCTAGAGGAAAGTTGATGAAATTTTAAGGAACGCACAGAAGAAAAGGCAGAATCACAGGACTTGCACCGCTCAGTACAAAGTTTACAGTCATGAACTCGATACGAAGGAATGGTTTTAAAGGATCTCTTACACGGCGTGCAGTAAGCTTGCAGTGTCTTGGGTGGATTTTCACTTTTCAGAGCTGCATAAAATTTTTTACACCGCACTGAGACTCTCACATGTTTGGCAAAGTCATCTTGAGAAGTAAAGCACTCTTTGCATTGGCCACAGTCCCACAGGAGCTCCGTCTCACCACAGTTGGAATTCTTCACATCAGCCGGCACGCCAGACACGGAAATCGCAGAATTCGGAGACGGTGTTTCCGTATTTGTCCGCGTGTTCTCCACAACAGATTCTTTCACAGTGCTAGAGGAGGACACTTGAACAGAGTCCACGGCCGGGCTGGGGGCACGGACCTCTGAGAACGTTTCCAGCAATAGAGCCACATACTTCAGCCTGCAGGTCATATCCTTAAAACAATGCTTCCCCAGCTCTTTGCGATGAAGATATTTCTTCTGGCACATGGCACAGGTCTGGTCTGGTGCAGACTTCAGTCTCCACATTCCCTTCGACAATTCCCGGAAACAAAACTGCTGCTGAAGCAGATGAGCCTGAAGACTTACGAGGTCACGGAACTTTCTGGCACAAGCTTCGCAACGTATTTTTTTCCGCTTCCCGTGAGCGGCCTGAACCTTGCCACAGACCCCGTTTTCTGCCAGGTGTTTCTTGAGGGAGGACTTCCGCGCAAACACGGAGCTGCACCGAGTGCATCTGTACTCAATGCGAGCATCATCCTCTGAGCTGGAGGATCGGCTGTCTACAGAGTCTTTGCTGCTGTCATCTGAGGAACAGTCATCATTATCCCTTGCTGCTAGTAACCCTGCTGTAATAGTCACTGGTGCCGAAGATGTTTGGGCGCTGGAGTTTGTGTTTGAGCTGGGGCCTGTGTTTGCGGTGGGGTTTGTATTTGTATTTGTGTTTGTGTTAGCGCTGGGGTATGTGCCTGCAGTTGCATTTGTGTTTGTACGGTTTGTGTTTGTCTTTGCGCTGGGGTTTGCAGATTTGTTCGTGTTTGTCTTTGTGTTTGCGCTGGATTTTGTGTCTCTGTTTGTGTTATTTGTATTTGTCTTTGTGTTTGTGCTGGGGTTTGGGTTTGTATTTTTCTTCGCGCTGGGGTTTGCAGATTTGTTTGTGTTTATCTTTGCGCTGGAGTTTGTGTTTCTGTTTGTGTTATTTGTATTCGTCTTTGTACTGGGGTTTGTATCTGCATTACGTGAAACCGCGGCAGATGCAACAGGTGAAAGCTTAGCAGAACTTGGCTCAGCTTTGGCCTTTGACGGGGCGGGAGTGGGCATGGTGGGCAGCAGGTTCGAGACACTCCCAGCCGCCAGTGGCCTTGCAGCACTGGACTGAGAGCTCTTCTTCGGAAGGGCAGCAATCGGATCAGCCTGCCCAGGCGCAGAGCCAATGGCAGCTGACGATGGTGATTTTACATGATCCTTCGGTGAGCTTTTTTTCAATGAAACCAATTCGCGGACTGAGCCAACGGAATTCCGGCTCTCTTGGTGCTGGTTGGGCCAACAGCCCCGGCTCGACTGCAAATGTTTTGCTAAAGCTTCGTCACTCCTCAGGATCTTTCCACACGTTTGGCAAGAGTACCGGGGCAAGGATCTATCGTTATCGTCATCATAAACGTTGGCGCAGCTCTCCGATTCAGCGAGGTGTACAGCCAGACAAGCATCGCTGCCCAGAGGTTTCTGGCAAGCCTTACACACAACAGACGCTGGAGTCAGCTTCACCCGTGCCCCGCCGCGTTCAGAAGCCTCCGGTTGTCCTAATCTCTCCCTACACAGCACGCTATTTTTCATATGAAACTGCAGAGATCTTTCATCTAAAAACTCCTCATTACAAACTGTGCACTTGCTGTATGCTGTAACCACATCAGGACTCTCCCAGCCCCCATCAGATACATCCTCTCTCTCCGGTTCATCTCTTTCTAATCCACCATCCGATACATTCTCTCTCTCCGGCTCATCTCTTTTTAATCCACCATCAGATACATTATTCTCTCTCTCCGGTTCATCCCTTTCCAATTCACCATCAGATACATCCTCTCTCTCCGGTTCATCCCTTTCCCATCCACCATCAGATTCATCCTCTCTCTCTGGTTCATCCCTTCCCAATTCCCTTGGTTCTATAACCTCATGGGGATTTTCCTGACCCCAGTCAGATTCATCTTTTGTCTTCCGTCCCTCCTTGTCCCCAGTGCTTCCCCCACGCCGTGAGGACTGGCCGGGTACAGTTACTGTCTCAGCCTGCGACACCGGGGAAACGCTTGTAGTTGTCACCTGTGTGTGAGACGCGATTTCCGGGGAAGCAGCACCTTCAACCGGTCTTTTCTTCTTGTTCTTTTCACGCGCTTCGTCAAACCTCTTTTTGCAACTAGCATACTTGCTGAGATGGAACTCTAGCCGTGCTTGCTTTGCAAATTTCCTTCCACAAAAACAAAAACAAGGAGAAATCTCTATTAGGGCTTTGGAGGTATCGGTATTAGCTGATTTGTCCGAGGGGACAGGCGGACATGCCCCCTGGTCGCTCTTGCCGTGTTTGGGTTTCTGAAAGAGGTTTTGAGCATGCAGCCGGCATTTGTTCACTTGTCGATGATGAGTTTTTAGCTGGAAATAACTCTCAAACCACTTGTGGCAGCAGGCACACTTGACACACTCTATACCGGTCGGATCCTGCTGAACAGACGCAGTGCCCTTGTCTGTAACACTGCTGGAAACTTCCACACAAGAAGGCTGTTCCCGACACCTGTGGCTTGCAAACTTATCTTCATTCGCAAAATTTTCCTTGCAAGCAAAACAGCGGACAAAGTTGTCAAACCTTTCACCCTTGGTCCATCTGTTGTGTACTTGAGGGTCATTCTCCGAATGAGTTTCAGCGTTGCCAGTCTTTGTACCACTGCCTGTACCTGGCTGGTGAGCATCGACATCACTGACATGAACGGCCCCGTCCGGCCCGCTGTTCGGCCTGGTGTCCACTTGACAGATGCAAGCAGCTTGATCTGTACGCACGGCAAGCCCGGTAGTCCTTTCACTAACGCTGACAACAGCCCTGACCTCTGTGTCAGCAATAGTAGTAGTAGATCCACCTCTCACCGTCCCTGTAACAGACGAACTGTCTTCGGGGCTTGAACAAATTTCCACTACACCCTCGTCGTCAAGTTGTTCACTCCCATCCGGCTTTCCAGGTGCGGCTTTTTTCAGAGGAAATGTGTCTTCCTTAACTTTTTCTGTCGGACCTGTGATGACAGAATCTGGTTCCGATGACTTGCTGAGATCGGCCGTACCAACTGAACCAGGCTCTGGTTGTACCTCAGCTGTAGCCCTCGAGGGATTCGTAGACGGTTGTTTCTCAGGCTGTAAGCAAGTAGACGCGGACAGCTCATCCATCCAACTCGTTCCATTCATCTTGTGCTTTTCCAAGAGAGCTTTTCCACACGGAGACCTTCTTAAGTGATTCCTCATGCCACATTTGCGATGGAACCTATTTTGACAAAAAGGGCACTTGATGAATTCAACATCACACGAGTTCATATAGTTGCTTGGTCCGTGATCCAGTATGACATGTATGACAAGTTCAAATCTGTTAATACATGTGATACTGCACTTATGACACTTGCCACTTTTCTTATCTTCATTGGCTTTCCCCTTACTCTGTGACGCACCCTTCACCGGTGCAACTGCTGGCTGAGCAGGCAGAACAGCCGATGTGTCTCCAGTCGACGGATTCGTCACTTCCTTACCACGATGACCGCTCAGATTTTGTCCAGCTGTACATGCTGAATTCTTGTCATCCCGAGGAGCTGAATTGGAAGATCCCGTTTTAACCAGCATCGATGATGAAGAGCTCTTCCCTTCACTCTCCCTCGAGGCGGAGGGTGAGCTGTCCCTCTGGCGTACATCTGTCCCTCTGTCGTTTTTCCTGAGGGTTTTGTCAGCGGGAGTACCACTAGGGGGAGTACCACTAGATGCTGGTGCTGGTGCTGCTGCCACTTGATCTTCGCTAGCAGAGCAGAAAATATTTGAGAGGGCATGGACATAATCCGACTTTGTGTAGCGGCCGCCTGGTTTAATACTTTCTCCGTGTCCCTGCTGCGAGCTCTCAGCACTTGCCACTTCAGGATTTGCTTTGGTGAGATGAACGGGAGAAACCTCATCATGGGACTCATCAGCTTGATCACTTATTTCATTCCTCATTTCCTTAGATGTATTAGAGTTCAAACAACGTGACCGCGAACTTGTGCTTGTTAAACTGGATTCTGGTTGAAATACAGCACAGTTTTGTGAGGCAATCACGGTCCCCACAGCGTGATTTGATTGGCTGACGGTGTCCCGAGCCTGTGCCTGTTGAGGCCCGCTCACACTGAGCTGTGTTGAGGGTCGAGGAGCGGGCGTTACTGCTCGCAGCAGCTTAGGGGAGGGACTTTGTGGCTTTGTGTGAAGAGCCTGGTCGGTCAGCACTATAAGTTTAAGGCCTCTCTGATCACCAAGGGCACCAGTAGAAGGTTGAGCGACTGGTTGAGACGGTGAACGATGACGGGTCTCGGTTTGTGGAGCGTTCGGAGGTAGAATGAGCACTAGGGAATGACCATTGGCTCCTGAAGCAATAGATTGAGTGTCACTCTGCCCCACACTAGAAGGAGTAGACACTGAAAGGGTCTGGGCAGAAGAGCCAGTCACTAACGACTTCTGGCTATGACCCGGGACCATGGAGGAAGCGGGCGCGGAACTTCCAGAAGAAAAGACGCCGGAGGGAGGACAATACGACGTCTGCAACTGTGTTGTGTGAAGAAATGTTCTCACAGGAGACGAACCGATTGTCGATAGAGTAGGGGAATTATCTGCGCCTGGAATACTGTGCTTGTGGTCGCCAATTAGAGCGTCTGAGACAGCTTCTGCGAATAACGGGGAAGTGCTCCTCTTCACAACTGGAGGAAGCGCTTCTTGCGCTTGACTGACACGTACCCTGCCATACAAAACCCGCTCCTCCGATTCATCACCTGCCCCTGCCTGATCTGTATTTTCTTCTTCAGTTTCCACTTGCAGATCCAAGTCAGGAAACTCATCTCTATCCGAGTCAGGCACTGGTTTCGATGCCATCTTCTCTGAGCTTATAATTTTTGTACTGCTTTTGGCACTGGGATTTACATCGCCAGATTTGTCCACACTTGCACGAACGACAGGTGTTTCATTTCCTTCTTCATCACTGTCAATTATGACCAAGGTGGAGGAGACAGCATTGTCAGGTCTCTTTGCTTGCAATTGTTTTTTTCTCCGTCGACTTGTGTCTATTTTTAGAAGTACACAGTCGTCTAGATCTTCGTTTTCAACATCGACCACATCTTCACACACCAGAAGTCGGTGTGGCTTCAGTGCTGGTTCCTTCCCTTGACCAACAGGCGCGCAGTCTGAACTCCCTGCCCTCTGACCCCCGGCCTCCATGCGTGGCGCTGCAGCACCAGCAGCTGGATGAGTCGACGATGAACTCTGACATTCAGCCCCGCTCTGCGAACACTGGACACTGTCTCTCGGCTTAGACGAGGTCTCCAGTTTTGCCGGAGTCACAAGAGGTTTTGCGAAGGAAACATCAGCAGATGATGACGGAAGCGACGACATCATGACAGACGTGTGGTCTTGATGCAGAGTTCCTTTTGCGAAGATGACGGACGGTGGTGTGATACAGATACGCTGTAACTGTATGCCTGGTCAGTTCTCAGGAGATGATGACCACAGGCTTTACTGCCCGTCATGGCCGCTACTGACGGAGGTGTTGCAAAGGCTCCGAGTGACATTCTGCTCGCTGAGGTACCAGCTCAGTCCCCCACACAGAGGAAGACGCATCATACAGGAGACTGTCCCTCTAACACCCAGATATTACCACACAAGTCTGTAGAAAGCAGAAGAAACCTCATCCTATTAATTATTATATAAAAACTATCTGCTTAAACACTAGGGGGAAAAGTCTGGATATAAAGCCTCCAGTAAATAACTCAAACACCCCATGGGTGAAGGCAAAACTGATGCTCTTTTGTGCGCGCTGTCTTCCACACTTGCTTCAGTACAATGGCCTCAGGATCAAGGCTGCCAAAAAAAATAAAAATCATGCAAATTAGATTGAGTTCATAAGTAAGAGTATTAAGGCACCTGCAACATCATAAAATATAAAAGTGCCGAAGATCAGGTGTGCAACTAGAGAATAACATTACATTCGAAGAAAAAAAAGGAGAAATAGACGTTTGATTGGACAGAAGGAGCAAACAATACCAGATCACCTGCCAACCAACCACAAACAAATTAGAAAAACATCTACTTTCACTATGAATAATGTATTTAAATTTAATGGGAGGACTTCCATAACGAGCGACCACTATGAGACAGAGTAGAATTGAGGGCTAGGGGTAGATCTAGGGGTAGGGGTAGGGGTAGGGTTAGGGTTAGGCCTCTTCTTTATTGTGTCTGTTGGGGTGGTCGCTCGTTACGGAAGTTCTTCCAATTTAATAATAATAACTCATCTATCAATGTCTGACGACGACCAATACATCCACAGAGGACCCTCGAATATTTCTCCGATGTCAAAGAAAGCCACTTTTCCTCTCAATAATGAGTGACTGTCTTAGTTTTTACTACATATCTAGCATTGAACACTGACACAAAGAGCACGAGACAAACAGCTGCTCTGCTTTCACTGAACTTGTACAAAAAAAGCGACGGAGGACTTTCGCAACAAGCGAACACTATGAGACAGAGTAGAACATAGGGGTAGGGGGTAGGGATAAGAGATGGGGTAGGCGTAGGGATCGGATAAGGGTAGGGGTAGGGTTTGGGGTTGGGGTATGGTTAAATGGTTTATGGAGTTTAGGTTTGGGGTAGGGTTAGGATTAGGTCTCTTCTTTATTGTGTGCGTTGGGGTGGTCCCTCGTTACAGAAGTCCTTCCAAAGCGACTCTCTATTTACGTTCTTTCAAGACAAGAGACAACCAGAAAAAGAAAATTTTTCCATCTCTTGCTGAAGCCCTGCTGAAACACAGCTTGTCTATTTCCTAGTTCATAAAAAGGGCTAGATCTAGATCTAGATCTAGATCTAGTAATTGATCAAATGAGAACCAAGACTCATTATTTAACAATAATTAAAACGAAGTGATTATTTCTCCGAACGTTCGGAGAAATAGTGCCGATCTTTATTTCTCCGAACGGTTTCCGGCTTCCGCTCTGGTCGTGATTGTTTGCCTATTTGCGAGAGTTCGGCGCCAACTTTCATTCCGTCATTCTGCGAGGTCTGGGAAGGAGCAAATCAATGGTGGTATCTGTTCCCAGCTTCTCCTCCGGCCGTGTGCCCACTGGTTTAGCGAGGCGGGTACTGCCTGAGGCACCCGAGAGACGGAGAAATCTGACCCTCTTTTCTATTGGGCCGGCCCTATTTCTCCGAACGTTCGGGAAAATAAAGCTGGGCACTATTTCTCTGAACACTCTGAAATCACACCCTTTCCCGCATATTTCGGATAATAAAAATAAAATATAGATCTATAATTATATTATAGGCCTA